TAAAGTGAAAAATATGTAAAATTCCTAAATTCTGAATGTATATTGCTAATAAATAAATAAATAAAGTGAAAAATATGTAAAATTCCTAAATTCTGAATGTATATTGCTAATAAATAAATAAATAAAGTGAAAAATATGTAAAATTCCTAAATTCTGAATGTATATTGCCCTAATAAAACATAGAATTACAATTAAACCTATTAAATAGAAATTTCATTTCATGCAGCTATGTTAATATATTTGAATCCCTAACCCTGTGTTTTATTTCACGCTTTTCTGGCCCCCTGCTGGCCCCCTGGTACACTTGATCTAGAACCACCACTGATAACACCTGATCTAATATTTATAACTTATATACAGACACAGATAGCACATATTCTTTTCAAATATGTTTATTTTTGGGTGAACATCATAGGATAGTTTGAATATATGCACAGTTTTGTTGTCCCCTGACTGAAACAGTAGGAGTTAAGTGAAGGGCTGGAGCGGCTCCCGCTGCTCAGTGATGCTGATGAGGGAGGATGTGAGCCGCTACTCCACCACGCCCCGCCCCCATTGACAAGGCAGGGATGCAGGGCATGCCTCTGAAAAGCCTGCAACCCCTCCAGACAGACCGGACCACTTTGGACTACACTCCTCATTTATTCCCCTCCATATGTTCTCCTCCACTCAGCTGCACGGATTAGTTTAAGGGGATTTAAAAGCGGAGAATTACGCGCAAACGGCGCGCTTTTATGGTTTTACGCTCATTTAATCATTCCTGGATCTAAAAAGTCGTAGTTCTGCTTCGCCTGTCAGAAACGCTTGGCATGAGGGTGTAAGCCAGTTAGTTCACACTGCGTCCAGGTTGCTTATTTTTCAAGGTTTTTTTTATTTTAATTTCCTTCCTTTCTCCTGGAGGCGCGTGCGTTATTTCTCCATCTGCCATGGCTGATTCCAACGCTGAATGCAACATCAAGGTGTTGTGTCGATTCCGTCCGCTGAACCAGTCTGAGATTATCCGCGGAGATAAGTTCATCCCGGTATTCCAAGGAGAAGACACTGTAATCTTTGGGGTAAGGAGTTCCAAATGATTCCTCTCTGCTGACACAGTTGCATCCACTCCACTGGTGCTGGAGGTTAAACTTATCATCTCACATCTGATGCAGACAGGATTGATGCTTTGGAGCTTAAAGGCTTGAGGCAGGGATCAAACTAAGTGTAGCTTTCATCAATACTATTGGGAATACTATTACTATTCTGCAGCACAGTGTGCTGCTGCTATTAGAGGACGGCCAAGCAATTATAAATAAGTGAATAGTAACTCATTACATCTGTGCATTCTTTAGTGCAATACCAACTGATTACATATTATATGCCAATTGTCTATGTTTAACATGCATTTTGAGTCCAAAGGCTTTAACTCTATGTGCTGAAATGGAAAAAAGAAATGCTCTGCCATTTATTTCAGTTAAAGCTTGTTTGCTGTTTACTTGATATTAATATTGTGTATTTTTTGTGTAATCCCAAGAGGGCTCCTTGAATTAGCCCCCCTTTCACTCACACCCAACCAGATCCTAACCCACCCATCCTCTGTTTCTCCAACATGAAATAATAGCTGAATGTTTGATATCTTGAGTCGATATTTACAGGGTTTTTGTATCGTAGCAGGCGGTATGCGCATGGGTATGCCGATTCATCGGTGCATTCAGCAGCTATGTCTTGAGATCACATGGAGTGCATGCATTGCCGCTCCCTTTATATCATTTTATCCTGTGAATCGAGAAGGAAGAAACGTAAGCTTTAAAATTTGCTGCCAAAAAAAAAAAAATCGGCTGCACAAATCTAGGATTGGTTAGATTGATGTAAAAATAATTGGAATCGGCAACAGCCTTTATATGGGTGGATCTCCACACGGAATCATAACTTGGTCACAGGCGTCATCAGCCACATCTTAGGCATGGCAATACTCTGTGTACATGGTGCACACCCTAGGGAAGCACCTATTCCCATTGAGCGAATTAAGGATACGAACTGGAATCAACTGTATTTTAGCTTGGATGTAGTTTATGGTGTCTTGCTCTTTGCAGAAAGCCATCTTAAAGAATAAAGAAATTCACCACCTTTTTTCTTTCTCTCTTCGGATTATTAAGCTGAGAATTATGATTTCTTTGGTCATGAATTTAACCATCTGCCTTTAATCTAGTGCTAGTGTATTAAGTTTTATTGCCGATCAGAGTGGAATCATGATTTATTTGTCTATGGACCAGTAAATGCATGTTGGCTTTGCTTCAGCAGGAATTCAAATAGAAGCTGATGGTTATTATCAATGCTAATGATGTTTAATGGAATCGAATCAATCACTAAAAGGTGTATTAGTCTGATTAATGTGCACCTGATGCTGAGGTTAACAAGGTGATCACGATTCCACTTCAACCTGTGACATTTAAGAAAAAGTTATTAAATCACAAAGATTAGGATCCTCTAAATGGAATTCCCACTTCTGATTTGAAGCAAATATCTAAGAACAAAATACACAAATACATGCATATGGTGTTTGGGAATATAGGCATGCATACAAATGTCCAAATATGCAAATCTATAATTTAATTTCACACTGAATACAGAGCACCTGCTCTTCACTATAATAGATACACATACACACTTGCAGAGATGGAGATTATGAAAGAAATCTGAACCCTTCTGTCCTGAGGGTTGACTTGTAGTGATGACTGGGACAGCAGAAAATCCCTAACGGCTCACACTTGTTTTTATTCACAGACAAACAGTAAAATGCATCACTAGTTTCTCGGGGGGGATAATTCTACACGGCTGACTACCTTGGCTGTATAGCCGCAGGATGCTTTGCAGCAGTATGAATTTTTATTCTGTTTATGCATAAAATTTTATGTGATTAAGCAGATTCTTTTTTAAGATCGCAATTTGAAATCAGAAATTCCAACATCAGTCTTTGTACCTGAGTTGGAAGTAGTGTGTAAATGTAAACCCAGATGGTTTGTCTTGTAAATTATAAGATCTGTGTAAAATTGTTGTAATTGTATATTTCAGAAAATGAAATGGGTAAGTTTATTGGATTTTCAAGAGACAGTGTAAGCTTATATTTGCCAATTGATTGACTGGATTCGGTATTTTCTATGTGAGATAAAGAATAATATTAGGCAGTCAGCTTTAAGCTGTCACTAAAACAAAGCTGCTTTTGTTCCCTGTCAGTAAGTTTGGCAGCAGCAGGCTTACAAACAATAAAAAAAAATAATAACCTCTGGAAGCACAAGCAGACATTCCCCTTGCATTCTAAGTATTTTCATCTTCTAACCGGCTCCCAGTTTTCCTCCATCAAGATGAATGCAGTCATAGAGAAACAAGTGAAGTTTTCACCTTTCTAAATGAAATTATTTCCAAAAAGTACACTGTATATAAGAATTTATTTTCTATTTGTAGTGCTTGTCTTGTACAATATAGTTTTAAATGAATATGTCACATTTGATGTGATTCATAATAGCAGGGCAACAGGAAACAAGTTAATGCAAATGTTGTTTAGTCTGATGGAAATAACTGGGGTCTGGGCGCTGCTGATGGCCCCTCTATTTGGCTGCTTGGAAACAGCTCCTTTTAGAACTTGATAACAGACAAAGGCAGGGATGTGAGCGTCTGAGTGATAGATTGGCTGCTTCTTGGTGGCAGGCAGGAGGACACTTGAAGACATTAAAGATTACAGAAAATAGTTTGTTGTTGTCCTCTGCACTGGACTTCCTCACTGCATCAACTAGAAAGGGGATGTAGACTGACTGCAAATTGAAAACAGGCGGCGCAAAAAAAGATGCAACAAGTTAGTTTAATTCGAAGTGGTAAAGTAATTACCATAAGTGTTAGCATATGAAAGTAAGCAAGGGCCAACGTGAGATTTTTAGAAGAGTGTTTAACACCACAAACTTATGGTGAAACCTCATCTAAAAAAAGAAAACAATATGTTTAATTTTAAGAATTTCTTTCATTTTCACACCATGGATACATGTGATTTTGTAACCAGAATTTTTCCTAAACAGTCCTTTTTTGAAGAAGAAAAAAGCAGCACAGCCCTCTCTGAGGCTGACCGTATGCAACAATTCAATTAAGTTTTTTTTATATACCGGGTAGCGCCAATTACCAACACATGTCATCTGTAGCTACTTTACAATTTATACAATTTCACCAAATGATAGTCAGATTGGTTCAACGTTTTCTATTTCAGGAAAACCAGCTGATTGCATCGACTCATTGACCTGACAGCAATCCCTCACACCAAGCATGCTTGTAGTGACAGTGGTAAGGGAAAACTCCCATTTAACAGAAAGAAGCCTCCAGCAGAATCAGGCTCTGTATGAGCGGCCATCTGCAGAGGCCGACTGGGGATCAAGGAGATAAAATCAGACATACAGAAAAAAGCAGAGATACTAGAGTCAACTGTCAACCAGCACCACAGGCGGCCCCATCCAGGAAACACACAGCCAGGCAGAAGGGCTCTGAGCCAGCTCCCATGTTAGGATGAAAGAGAGCACATCCAGCCAGCCACAGTCAGGGAAACAGGACTACACTGAAAAACAGGCCCAGCTCCAACATCTATAAACAAAGGTCTTGATGGCAGCAACACAGCTGATATTTCTCTCCTGGATGGTGTCACAGCCAAACAGGAAGAGATCAGATAAAGCTATTATGATGAGTAAAAGGCAGAGATTGAACTAAAAAATACTGGAAAATAGGGGAGTAGAGATAGAATGAAGCAGAATGATAAAAGGGGTCCCTAGTCTTCCAGCGGTCTAAGCCTTTAGCAGCATAACTAGAGACATAGCTCTGGATAACCTGAGCCACTGTAACTATAAGCTTTTTCAAAGGAAAGTTTTAAGCCTACCCTTAAAAGTAGACAGGGTGTCTGCCTCAGGGAGTAAAACTGGTAGTTGGTTCCACAGGAGAGGAGCCTGATAACTGAAAGATCTGCCTCCCATTCTACTTTTAGAAATTGTAGGGACCACTAGTAAACCTGCAGACTGCATTTAAGGCTTTACATGAGAAGGATGAAGTTAAGTTCTATTCTGGATTTAACAGGAAGCCAATGAAGAGAAGCGAGGATAGGAGAAATATGATCTCTCTTTTTAATTTTCATCAGAACTCTGGCTACAGCATTTTGGATCAGCTGAAGGCTTTTAACTAGAGTTTGTGGACTTACTGGTAGTAAACAATTAGAATATTACAGCCTTGAACTAAAAAATGCATGGACTAGTTTCTCAGCATCACCCCTGGATAAGATATTTCACATTTTTGCAAAATTCCAGAGATGAAAGTGGGGGATGGACAATTTATGCATTAAACAACCAGGAAAAAGACTCTTGTCTGGCACTTCCTCAATAGCTTACTTATACAGTAAGAATGGTTTGCCAACATTTTTTTTTATAGCTTATTGAAACCTCGGTTAAATTCCTTACTGGTTCATTGCTGTTAGAAAGCATAGCACAACTGCACTACGGACTAATTTCTATCAAGTTATTACCTTATGTCAAATGTAAGTGACAACTGACACAATGTATGTATTTTTCAGTATAATTGGTCTCCAAGTACAAATCATAAATATACAAAACTATTCATATCAATGTTTTTTTTTAAAGTCTTGCTCAAATGAAGCTATGGGGAGCATTGGCCTAGTGGTTAGAGCAGTGTGCTTGTGCTCTGAGAAGGTTGCAAGTACCTGGTTTGATCCGCACAGCCTGCACTTTGGGTCTCTGAGCAAGACCCTTAACTCCACACTGCTCCCTGGGCACCACATAGTGGCAGCCCACTGCTCCCCTAAGGGATGGGTCAAATGCAGAGGGTAATTTCTCCAGTATGAGATCAATAAAGTTCAATTATTATTATTATTTGCTCCTCAGGTCTTGAGATTATTCTGACCTGTTTAGGGTTATCCTCACTGTGCTTAGGGAAAAGATAACATTTGGTCCCTGCAAGTTTTTTTTTAACAAGTTCAGTTTTTCAAGTCATTGTATTTTTACGTAGCTCTGACTCTCTTGGCTGGCATAGTTGAAGCCAG